ACATGGGGTCCGCAAGGCGCGAGCAGGGCTCGTCTCACGCCGCTGGCGCGGCTCGCCTTCGTCGTCATTCCATCCGGGAAAAGAAGTGTCAGACTCGTAATCGACCACCTCTACTTCCCTAACGAGGTCATTCGTCACCGTTAGCGTGCGCAGAGCGCAACTCTCGGGCTCATCGAGCCACGATGCCGCGGAGACACGGTCCGACATAGCACCGTGTGCGAGAAATGAAGCTGGGCTCTGCCCGTGAGCGCTGTCAGAACCAGCGGGAATTTGAGACTTCGGTGTCATTGACACAGGGCTCATTAAGCACGGAAGTCGTTTCGTTCCAACGCAGTGTCTGACGGACACGCAAGCCTCGTTGAGGCAATAATCGATTGGTTAATGTTCTCAATTAATGGGGGGAGTGTAATGGGGTTACAAATACCCTGGTTACAGGGGTGTGTGTCAAACCAGATGGGCATGGTGTGACCACAACCAGACAAGAAAACGGTACGGGGCTGGATAGCCAGTAGTTATGCATGGATTTAGATTTTACTATACATATTTAGGAAAAGCTATGAATAAAGTCAGTTTTGGATTTGAACGGAAGAGATAACTAGCTTCGGAAAAAGTTTGTAATTACATTTGGAGTAAGCGGATTGCGATCCGCTAAACTCGTACTTGTTCCAAAGATGGAACGAAAGGTCGGTGATTTAACTTACGCTTCCTCTAAGTGCAGAACTACGGCAGCCCCGCTGCATTAAGCCTCGTGCAAATATAAATGAATGGTGAATTCGTAGTCAGATACAAATTTCGTGCCTTAAACTGCTTTTGATTATGGGATTCTATAATCTTTGATATGCTTATCACAGAGTTTACGGCGTTTATAGAGCATTTTTCAGAAACGTAAGGTGCATTTGTTCGATCGGGTTTCTTTCAAGAGACCAATAGTAAAGTATTTATAGCTAAGAGATGAGAAAACAAAGACAACAACCAAACGATGATCGAGATATGAAATCTCTCTTTGACCGTATAGCTACTATCTCCATGAAAATTGACCTGTCCAGCAAATGGGCCATCATATAGGAGTCAATTTTTCCGCTAAAAGCGCTTTTCAACTTACGTATAAGGCCAAACTATTTTGTCTATTGCTAGGCAGCCCAAATCAGCGCTGTTAAACTTCTTAGCGACGACCGAGATTGCTTTATACCTAGCATGATGTCAAATTTGTCATCGAGGTCGAGAAAGATAAACTCGTCTTCGTCTCAGAAATCGTCAAACTTCGTTGCAATTGAATGACCTGCCTAGTATCTTCGTTATAGATACTTTTGTAATAATCATCTATTTGGCAGACTAGCACTGCGGCGGGGCTGCCGTAGCTTTGCGCTTAGAGGGAGCGTAAGTTAGGTCACCGATCTTTCGCTCTATACTTAGAACAAGTACGAGTTTAGCGGATCGCAATCCGCTTACTCCAGGAGTAATCACAACCTTAACCCTAGGCTAATTATCTCTTCGGATTAAATCCAAAGCTGACTATATTTATCTTTATCTGCGGCAAAGCCGCCTAATTTCAAATGCATAGATTTTCCTAAATATGTATAGTAAAATCTAAGTCCATGTATAAGTACTGGCTATCCATCCCCGTACCGTATTCTTGTTTGGGTGTGGTCACACCATGCCCATCTGGTGTGACACCCTCCTGTTCCCGGGGAATGTGTAAACCCTTCACACTCTCCCCCATTAAGATTGAGAACATTTGCAGCTCCAATCGATTATTGCCTCAGCGAGGCTTGCGTGTCCGTTAGACACTGCGCTGGAACGAAGCGGCTTTCGTGCTCAATAAGCCATGTGTCAACGACACCGAAGTCTCCAAGTCTCACTGGATCCGACAGCGCTCACGGGCAGAGCACAACTTCGTTTTCCGCACGCGGTGCCACGTCAAACCGTGTGTCCGCGGCATCGAGGGTTGTAAATCCTAGGCTCGATGAGCCCGAGCGTCGCGCTCCGCGCACGCTAACGGTGACGAATGACCTCGTCGGGGATGTAGAGGTGGTCGATTACGAGTCTGATACTCATTTTCCCGGGTGGAATGACGACGAAGGCGAGCCGCGCTAGCGGCGTGAGACGAGCCCTGCTCGCGCCTTGCGGACCCCATGTCCGTTTCCTGACCGCTCATCACCTGAGGAACGTGATGAAATCACCAATGACCTCGATGAGGCACAGAAGCAGCAGCTTGAAGCTGCCCATAAGGCGGCTCTGAAGCGCGCCCATTCAAGGCCGGTCATTGACCCTCGTGTGGAATATGGCTTCCGCCCGGCGGATCCCGCTATGAAGGCGAAGGACGTGGTAACTCTATCTTTAAACCTCCACATCATCAAGCCCTTGGCCATTATGGAAGATGAGCTTGCCA